GCCGGATAAAAGAAAAGCGAGCGGAGGCCGGGGCCGAATTTTCGGAGCCCACAAAAATACAATACTCCAATGAAATATGGAGCTTCACTAAACTTTTTAAAATTCATTTGCATACCCAAAAGTTTCTGTATAGCTCCTACTCTAATTTTTATGTAAACCAAAAAGTGTATGTACACAAAAAGTTTAGTTACCATTTTTATCTAGTGCCCCATGGCTCATTCCCCTTTCGTGCAGTACAACCATTGCAGATGAGCTAGAGCTCAATGACATACACAAATAATGTTTAAAAAATAATAATATGGTTGCAATCAATTGAAACAATATGAAAATGATATAATAAACATCATTTCATGTTCTATTTACTGATATCAACACTTTAGGCAGGTCATATGATGACTATAGGCTTTTGCACATTTACAACTTTCTAGTTCAGGGTTGAGTCTGCATTCCTAACTTTTAGAATTGAAGCTACTATCTTATTCAAGATTGGGTCCAAGTTCTCAACTTTTAGAATTTCGAGTGTGGGTTTACCTCGTTAGGTTTTTCACCTTTACATGTGCGAGCCTGTCCATCATATATGACTTCTCTCACCTTTCTAATCCATTTCACCTTGCATTTTCATCATCCATTTCACATTTCATAACATAAATAAAATATTCCATTTCAATAATTCTTGATGAATGATCAAATAATGATAAAATGAAACTGGAATATCTCACATCGCTAGGTATTGGTTCTGCTAGATCATGCTTTCTTTTCCTCTTGTATACAACCTACAATATAAGCTTCATTTATACATGCATGCATATAGCATATAAAATAATGTAACTTGCATGAAAAATTATTTGAAATGAACTCATTCAACTCAAAATCTCACCTCTTACTCCCTTCTTCCCCTCTACTTCCTTTCCTTTTTATTTCTTTATTATCTTCTGAATTTTCTTATCTTCACCTTATTGATTTCATCACAAAGACATAAATTTCAGCAACCATTATTACCTAATATCAACAAACAGCAATGCCCTTACGTGCCTTAGCTTTTCCTCTTCCTTTTTCTCACAAGTTTCTGTAATTACAGCTGATTTCAGAAGTTAACAGCAGTCTACAGCAGCCTCCACAGCAGCCCAATGCTGAAATTTTAGAAGATTTCAACAAGTAATATAACATATTTTACACACAATGATTTCAGCACCAAATACTGATTTCGGAAAAAATCCTTTTTCCTTACTATTCCCACAAATACAGATTTCTGTACATAAGAATTTCAGCAAACATTATTTCAGAAAACACTAAATTAAGATTACCACTGTTGATTTCTCCAAAATTTCTGAAATTTCTACAACAGCCCTTACATCTTTCCTTTTGATTATTTTCTAAATTCAGCAAAACTGATTTTTTTTCCTCAGTTGTTCCCCAACAGCTAGCAGCCCACAGCTTCACCTCAAGCTCTCCCTACCCTGCCACTTGCGGCCTGCTTCGAAAAACATAGAGGATTGGGTAGGGAAAAAAAGAATGTCATATCTATTACTCACGTAATAGACACTTATTAACTAATATGATATACTAAACAAATTCCACTAAGATTCCACTATCGGCTGTTCCTCTCATATCAATTGACTTAATTCTTATTTGTTTTCTTCACTTTTTGCATTTCTGACCCTCATTTTGTTGTTTAAAGATAATTCACTTTCAGACTTTTTATTGGAAAGCTCCCAAGCGCAAAATTTCCTTTTCGTTAGATCTTTAACTGACCCATGAGCTTTCCTTCTGAAAGTTCCGTGTAGGAAAATGGACCGCTAGATCAGTCAGTCCTGAACACAAGTTATATATGCATTAATGACTCCCTCTCATCTCCTGCAAGAGAGGGTCTTCAGACATTTTGTCATTTTGTCATATTGATTTGAGGTGCTATTAGTTCTTGTGAATGTCAAACGAAGATTCATAAAGCCTAGTAATTGGGATAAAACTGGTGTTGTTCTTAAGCATTTTCAATTCTGTTTAATTTATTGAGGATTTCACTCTTCAGACCCCTACTTGATTGCTTCGCTAGAGGCAGCAAGAACTACTGTGATATGGATTACAAGGAATCTATGGGCTATAGTCAACCGTCTGTAGTGTTTTTTTGGATTTTTCCCTCAATATTCAGCATCTTTTGGATCCATGTCATTCCTCAATGCTCTTTGGAAGCTTGTTCTCCAATCTCACTCTATACACTCTTGGTTGTTATCTACAACTCTTGAATTTTCCATCATTTCCTTGTTCTTTCTACCAGACCCAGTGTTCATGGCCATTACCATGTTATGATTTATCCAATCTATTGTATCCCGTTCCCCTGTTATGTCCATGACCAACTGAGCCATAAGTTGCTTGGGAATATTGACATAAAACTCAAGTTTCTTTAGTATTCTTATATATATATATATATATAGTATGACTAGATGAAACATAAGGCTTAATTTTTCTTTTAAAATAGAAGTTAATAAACTTTTATCATAATTGACGAGGAACTATATTCTACAAATGTGAACCGAGCATTGCTGATCAGTTTGAGAATAAACATCAGAGTTTTCAATTTGTTTGGCTAATTCACAAGGTAACTTAAACAAGACCTAGAGTAACTTGCCATTATTATGATTTTTCTTTCAAACTTGGGTAATCTGTTTAAATAGTTACTCAATTGAGCTTATTATATGCTATTCATTTTCCGTTTATGAGTTGTTCAGATTTACAAAAATTATTTCCAGTAGAAAAATTCAGAAATCTCAAATTTATACTCAGGATGGCGTCCTTTAAACTTTCTGGTTTATGATTATTTGTATGGGTTCTCAACTTGACTGCTATCATCATGTATTCTGATGTGAAACATGTAGGAGTTACTTGAGAAATTATAACAATCAATTGACCAAAACGTGCCAATATAGAATTATTGCTTGCAATAAAGATAGATTTCGGAATTCAAAATTTTTAACTTGCTTAGGCCAAAAAGTGCTATTGAGATTAGCCAAACAATTTAATAAAAAATCCAAAACAATAGTAAATGTTACATGCTCATAACAAAACCCAACACTTAACAACGACAGGTTCACCTTGAGTACCTTCTCACTCAATCACTCTTTGGCTTTAGCGGAGAAAGTTGAACCATACGAAGAAGGATATTACCACTAGGAAGACGGTGCCGAGGACCTTCGTTGACGGAACGGTATCCGGCGGTGGAGGAGGCGGTGGATGTCCAAATATTTTCCAACGACCTGGTGGAAGGTGCTCTTCAATTGACAATGTTAGTTGGTATATGATACGGTTGATGTATCATTTAACAGTTTCATCGTTGCCAAAGAAGACGTCAAAGAACGGGGAACCAAGGATATTTGTCCTTCCTTGCTCATCGAATAAAAATCCGTAGTTGGTCTCAGGATCGGCCATGCACCAATGATAAGATTGGGAGAGGAAGTCGTCTTCTTCTCTTGGCGACAAATATCATGAGCAAACTAGGGTTTCCCAAGAGAGGGGATGCAAGAGAAAGGGGGCGGCCAAGGTGGGGAGAAGGGGAGGGGCGGTTTGGGTGGGGGCTTGGAATAGGTTAGAAGAGGGGAGAGGGAAATTAATCAAAAATCTGAAATTAATTTCAGATTTTTTAAAATGGATTTGGCGTGATTTAATTTGAATTTTGAATTCAAATTAAAGTGGGATTGGGAGCTTTAATGGGGAAGCATTAATTGAGATTTTGAATTGGATTGGAGAGAGAAAGCATGGGTAAAGGGGGCTGGCCATGTGGAGAGGAAAGGAGGGAAAATATTTTAAGAAAGAGGACAAAACCTTAAATCCGAAATTAAATTCAGATTTAGGTATTAATGAGGGAGGGATGAATTTGAATTTAAAATTCAAACAAGGCTTGAATCTTAAATGGGCATTAAATGGGGGAAACCCATGTATGGCCGGCGGCTTACATAGGCGAGGAGGGAGGGGAGAGCAATTAATGCCACTTAATGCCTTAAACCCATTTAAGCAATGAAATAAGAAATCCAATTTAATTAAAAATTAAATTAGATTTGGATTGAAAAACTTTCCTAATTTGGCGTGGATAATTTAGGAAAGTATTTGAAATTCAAATTTGAATTTCAAATTGAATGATGGCTTTCCAACATCATGTAAGCCAAATTAGGTAGGTCTTAATGGTGATTAAGCTACCATTAATTGGTGGAAAGAAAGAGGGCCGGCAGGGGGTTTGGTCGTGGGATTTGATCGGTGGGAGGAAAGATTGAGGAGGCGGGTGTTGGGGAGAAATGGTGGGGTTATCGATTTGAAGGAGGGGAGATGGATGCCGACGGTATGCGGAAGAATGGAGTGGGGTGTAAGGGAGAAGAAGAAGATAACGAACCGCGAACCAAGGAATCCACCATGGTTGACGGGTATTGCGTTCACCCACCTAGGGTCTCTCCTCTCATGAACTCACTTAGAGATCAAGCAAGAAAACTAAAATTTCATTTCAATATTCATCATCCTTTTACAAAGCATAAGGCCACTATATATAGGCCTCCAACATAAATAAAGGCAAAGTACACAAATGTCCTTAAGGCTACAATAAGAAAACACTCCCCATAGGGTTAAACTCGGAAAAACAGAAAATAAAATAAAACGCATCAAAAGTAAAGACTGAATAGTGGCCATCGATCTACGATCTCTTCACCGGTACACGTGTCGGAATCTCTGAGCGATGTCCTCATCATATTCTGAATGAAAACATCTAGACTTAAATATTTTGTTTTGAGTCGAACACATGATGGTGCAAAATTTCCATCAGATGCAAATGTGAATCCCGTGTTACAGTCTTTCTTCTTAGCAGCATATGAACGTCTTGTTTTTTCCTCCTGCATAACCACCTGTTCGCAATCAGTTGTTAGTATCAATATTATGTTGTGCATGTCTCCTTTGCTGCTTGTCATTATTGTTGCATTTTTCTCATCATTTCTTCTTTATTCTTTGATTTTGGAATCTTTTAACAGATATGATATGCTGCATAATGCACATCTTAATCTTGATGGTTTAGCAGAGCTATTTAAAGTTGCTCAGGTAAAACTTAAACTGAAGAATCACTATATCTTTCTCTTTTGACTTGTAAAATAACTTTCTTCTAACAAGGCTTTATTCATTAAAAATCGGTTTAGAAATCAAGTGGTTGTGAGGTAGCTCTTTGAGTAATGGTTAGGTTGCTCCATCAGAGGTTATGAGTTTGAATACTAATTAATGGAGCCGATTTAATTGATCTCACTCAAATATGTTTGCGAGTTAGATAACTTTCTCTTCAGAATTGTTTTCATCTCCCTTCTCTTTGTTATGCTGGGGTAATATTGAATACATCAATCCTTCTTGGACCCAGTATTTATTGTTGTCTCTTTCAATGCCCATGCCCTTCAGTTAAATGGGTATTTAAGTCAATTTATGTGCATTTTATTTTACTAAATGTTATATTTGTGAGTAGTGAACATTGCCTTTTCTTGTTATGGATAAGCTAGAGGAATGTTTTCTCATTAAAATGAAAGAAAATAAAATACAACAAAGCTTATAGTGCTAGTGGCGTTTCAACGCATTTTATAGTCTTTTTCAATAAAGCTTACCTTTTCATAAATGATCAGAACAAATGGGACTAGTTTTTGTCTCCAGAAAGGACTTAACTGTTTTTTTTATTATTATTTAATAGTTGCTAGCAGATGGTGTTATTCCCAATGAATACGGCATCAACCCAAAGCAGAAGCTTGAAATTGGGTCAAAGGTACATTTCACTATGATCCATTTCCTCTCGGTGCCAGCATTTTGTTGCAAACTTTCATTTTATGTGTAAATAAAGGTTATGCACAGTTGCACACTTATCATGCAATAATCTAAAGTTTCAAATTACGTGAAATAGATATGCTGCATTCACGAATTAAATCTATAACTGCTTTATTAAAAAACGAATAGGAATATGTGAATCGCTTCCAGATTTATGTACATAACTTAAGTTAATCTGTATGTGGCATCTTCCATAATCAGATGGAAACTGCTGCGCTTCTTAGTTCTACATTGTAACCAATCGCTTATGCAGCAACTCATTGAAATTTACGCTGTGATGTCACAGTAGAATGGTTACAAATTGGCGGATGATCTGATAATCATATAAGAAAAGAGAGGTGGCTTAAGATGTTGCACAATGAATTTTTGAAGGGTTTGATGTTGAAGAATTGTTAAATCCTGAAAAGAACATATAGTGGTAGAATACTCAACATTAATTAGGAATTGTTAATTCTTCATCCCAGCCATGTGCTTTCAAATGTAGGACGTTTGTATCCATTCCTGCAGTTCTTTATTTTAATGTTTTTTTAACATGTGGAATTGAATTTTATAGATCGTACTAACTTTTGTAAAAATATTAGTTCAAGAAGAATATGCTACATTCTTTCCATTATTTGCTATACTTAGTTTTGTTTACTGCTCTTTTTAAATCATTTAATACCCCTCTTATTATGTTCCTAGTAAAAAAAAATTATTTCTCCTATGTTATTATGGCCTTATGGGAGTGGGTTTCTTTTGATTGAACCTTTTCTGTTTATCATAACATTTCTTATTTCTGTATCAGATAGCCCGCAGATTGTTAGGAAAAATTTTAATTGATTTGCGCAATACTCGTGAGGAGGCTATCAGTGTTGCTGAGCTAAAATTTGGTGATGGGAAAACCGCAATGGTTCAGAGGTCGAGAAAAGAGGATACCGATAACCAATCAAGACATGGGAATAAACATGAAGATGCCGGAAGAAATAGTTCTACCAGTGAAAAATCATTGGATCAAGATGATGATGAAGATAAAGAAACCAAATATCGTTTAGATCCAAAGTATTTACTCTCTTTTAGCTTTTGTCTCTTTTATTTACTCATCATTGGGCTTACTATTTCTCTTTTCTATGTAGGTATGCTAATGTCAAAACACCAGAACGACATGTTCGCACAAGACTATACTTCACATCTGTACGTGTACACTATTTTTCAAATGTTTCTAAAGTTTTGATTTATTTTAAGGAGCGTGAGATCATTTATGCATATTAGATGGTTTAATTAGTGAAATTTTCGTGCTCTTTAGCAAATCTCCTGAAACTATTGTTCTCAGGGCTTCTCGGAAAGGCTCCCTTTGGAGTGGAGGCACAAAGCTATAGCTCAATAGTGTGTCCATTCAATATAAAAGATTCAATGTGCTGACTAATAATACTTAAATGAGAGATCGACTCGTCTGTTTGTGGTTAGTTTCATATTAGATATACCAATGGCTGTACATGTGCCTTAGGGAGTATTTTGTGATAAGAAAAAACCATTGAAATTTGAATATAAGTGTTATATGTATAATTAAATTGGCTATATTGTGTGTATCTAATTATTGAACAACAACAAAGAGTCACAAATCGCCAAATTGTATGCGAAAGAAATAAAAATGTTAAAATGAATGTGGTAATTTCATATTAGTTCCTCCATTAAAGTATGTAGATCATATTTATATCCCAGTTATTGAACTGTCTTGTCTCTGTTTGATAATTATAACTTGGGCTGGCATGATGTGGGCTCCGAAAATTCGTCCCCGGCCTCTGCCCGTTTTTCTTTTATTCGGCGAGGGAGTTTTAACGAATAAGGTTCCAATTGTATGCGAAAGAAATAAAAATGTTAAAATGAATGTGGTAATTTCATATTAGTTCCTCCATTAAAGTATGTAGATCATATTTATATCCCAGTTATTGAACTGTCTTGTCTCTGTTTGATAATTATAACTTGGGCTGGCATGATGTGGGCTCCGAAAATTCGTCCCCGGCCTCTGCCCGTTTTTCTTTTATTCGGCGAGGGAGTTTTAACGAATAAGGTTCCGGGGTAAATTTTTGAAGGCAGATGGGTTTGTAGATAAGACACTACCCAGAGATTTCGCCCTCATTTTGCGAGGACTTTATAATCTGAGTTCTGATTTCCTATAGGCGCAAGCTCCTATAGTTAATTACCTCTCCCGATAATGAGAGAGAACTTTCGATTAAGGCTAGTATGATTAAATTTAATTAATCATAATTATTGAAAATTATTTTTTAATTAACTATAATAAAAAAATAATTAAATTATAATTAGCCTAATTAATTAATATTAATTACAACTAATTAAAATTAATATAAATAATATCATTCATTTCATTTTTTTTGTGTTTGGGATTTACGGGATTCGGCCGAGCAAGCACACGAAGGGAAGAAAGTTACCTTCACTTCCAGCGAGCTCCTGTTGATGCTTCTGATCAAAATGTAACTTTCGATCCAACTGGAAGGGAAAGTCGACGGAGGAGCGATGTCGGACAGCTAGGAAGGAGCCGAAGAAACGCACAGAAGGTAGAAAGTTATCTTCACGGCAAGCGAGCGCCCTTTCTTACTTATGATCAAAATGGCGTAACTTCCGATCCTTTAGGAAGGGAATGTCGACGAAGGAGCGAAGTCGAGCAGCTACGAAGGGAGAAAGTCACCGTTCCAGCAAGCGAGCTCCTCTGCTTGCTCCCGATCAAATGCCGAAACTTCCGATCCTACAGCAAGGGAAAGTCGTAGAAGGAGCGGCGTCGAACAGCTACGCAGGAGTCGGAGAGCATTCGAGAGAGGGAGAGCTCGGAGTCGTCGAAGAAGTCGAAAGCCCTGTCGCTTTGGGCTTTTAACGACTCAATAGTCGTGCGAGCGATCGTGTGTGAGGCGACATCGACGTGCGAACTGGTCGCGACGTGGGGGCGACGTGCTCTGGCAGCGACGTGTATCGTGGGATCGCAGGGAGTAGGTAGGATTTTGATGATTTTTTTTTTATACAGCAGGTCAACACATGAATAAAGAGGGAATGAATGGCCTAAGGTGTATATGAATGGCAGTTAAATTTACATTTAATCACTTCAATTTATTCGGGATTTTTGAGAGGAGGCAACGCATGACAAATTTCCTATTTCATTGATTGACGAGTTGTTGCATAAGCTTATGGAGAGGTGTTTTTTCTCGAAGATTGATCTGAAGGTAGGGTACGATTAGATCCGGATGAGATTCGAAGATGTTTCCAAGACGACATTTAGGACTCATGAGAGATAATATGAGTTTTTAGTGATGCCTTCTGGCCTCACTAATGCTTCAGTTACTTTTCAATCCTTGATGAACTGGGTATTCCAGCCATATTTACAGAGGTTTGTATTAGTATTCTTTGATGATATTTGATTTATAGCAAGACTGAGGATAAGCACTTAAAACACTTGGGATTGGTGTTATCCACTATGTGGGACCGCCACTTATTTGCCAATTTGAAGAATTGCTTATTTGCCTAGCCTCAAGTGGAGTATTTGGGTCACATGGTATCATAGGAAGGAGTAGCAGTTGACTAAAGCAAAATTGAGGCTATGCTAATATGGCCAATACCCAAGAGCTTGAGGGAGTTGAGAGGGCTCTTGGGCCTTACTGGCTACTACATGAAGTTCGTGAAGGGATAAAGTTTAATAGGCCGGCCTTTGACCGAACAACTAATGAAGGATAATTTCAATTGAGGCGAAGAAGCTACCAAGGCCTTTGAGGAGTTGAAGAAGATGATGACCAGCGTGCCATTGTTAACTTTGTTGGTCTATGAAGCAACATGGGAACTGTACTTATTCAGCAATAGTTCTCTTCGTTCTACTTGGGACAAGGTGACTCTTTGGAAGGGGAGTATTGATGGACTGACTGAGCCTATCTAGCCAATCAACCCGGCCCAAGCAAGGGGTGGCCGATCTAGCTAGGGGGCGAAGTGTCCTGTGTGCCTCACTAGTGTGGGCGGCAGGCAAGGAGAGAGGGGGCCTCAAAGGGGATTAATTCTACCTTTAATTACTTACCATAGAAAATCAAAATTCGGAGGGAATTAGGAAGGTTTATTTAGGGAAAGATGGTTGATTTGAATTCAGATTTATGAGGGAATTAGGAAGGTTTATTTATGGAAAGATGGATGATTTGATTTCAGATTTGAGGGGGAATTTGGAAGCTTTGTTTAGGGAAAGATTGCTGATTTGAATTTAGATTTGGGAGGGAATTTTGAAGGTTTATTTAGGAAAAGATGATTGATTTGAATTCAAATTTGGGAGGAAATTAGGAGGGTTTATTTTGGGAAAGAAGGCTTATTTGAATTTAGATTTGGGAGGGAATTAGATAGGCTTATTTATGATTAATTAGGTTGTTTTATTTTCATTATGTGATTTGTGTTTTTTACTGTAGCTCTTTGGAGTTGTTCCTAGTGGCGCCTAGGGTTTGGGGAGAATAGATCTACCTCAAGAATAGTAGATCAACTTGTATCTTGGTTTGTTGTGCTGATTTAAAAATGAATTAGCCCATAATTTCATTCTTCCTCGATAATTTTTGCTACGTTTTCTCTTTTGTATTACTGTTTTTGCTGTGTGGAGATCAGATTCTTGTCAGTCATATTATCTTGAGGGTACTTGGTGCCTTTAATAACACTCATCTGAATCCCTTCACTGGTTGAAGGTGATAAAGAGACCATTTATTAAATAACCTTAAGTAGGATTGCCCGTTAAGCCCATTAAGCCATTTAAACATGTATTTTTACGAATGCATAACGTACAGAATTCAAAGTAGTGGAACTATGAATGTTGCCGAAAGGAAACTCTCTTTAGCTATATTGTCTCATGGTGCTCTCTTTTCTTGATTGCAATTTTGCAAAGTTTCGTTGGAAATTTCAAATCTCTGGAGAAAAGGGTGACGTCCATGGTGGCCAGCATGGTGGTTTTCATTAGAAAATGGGATAAACGCATTTGATACCCTGCCCTTGATGCAGGACTACGTATGAAATATTTTACTTCACTTAGATTTTGCACAACTTATGATTAGAATAATTATAGAATAATTCTACTAGCAAATTCAAACACGAAATAAGACAATTAGGGGTTATCCACTTAGGTTTAAAATCACATGGTAAGAATTTTGAAGCTTCCAAACTTAAATAGACAACAACACGATGAGCAATGCACTCAAATCCTACTTACTAAGCTTAAGCAAGAGCGAAGCGGAGGAGTTCGTCGTGACTGCAATCAAACCACTGAGAATTTAGACTAAAAGGATTAAGATGTAATAGAAAAAGAGAAACCTTCGTTAGGGAGAGGTGGAGATCGTCCACTTGACGTCTTTGAAGTGTTCGTCGATAGCTTCCACAAAAGTGTCTAGGATCCTCTCCAAATAGTCTTCGACGGTATGGTCAATCCGCAGGTTCACGTTGAAGAAGGTAGATTGTAGGATATCGGTGAAGCAGTCTTCGTCCCAAGTGATGCCGTATTCAGTTGCCGGATCCGCCATTCATGAATGATGGAATGTAAAATCTCCTTAGTACTTGATAGGACTCTTGAATGCTAGCAAGGAGAAAGAAGTTTCTCTTGCAATGAGAGAGGAAACAAGCCCCCAAATACCCTTCTAGAAATCTGAAATTAGCTTCAGGTTTTTATTCAAAACCCGAGAGGAAATTCAGGTTTCAGGGATTAGGAGAAAAGGTGTTCGGGAGGAACAATGGACTTCACATTCAGGTGTCGAATGGTTGCCTAAGAAACGTGGGAAGAAAGAGGGAGAGGCGGTGCAGAGAAGGGAGGGAAATAAGGCTTGATTTGCTTCCAAATAGGGACTTTCCTTTTGGAATAAATCAAACAGAAAAAGGCATGGTGGAATTTCGGCTAGAGGGAAAATAACGTGCCTTGGATTGATTACCTAAAATAGGATTCTGTACTTAGGAAATGAATCCCAATTTAAGTCCAGGGGGGCCGGCGGCATTAGTGGAAGTGGGCTGGAATTATGGGGAGCTATTATTGTTGATTGATTGGGATTTGAAAATTTGGAAAGGATATTTTAAATCCTATTTGAAATTTTAATTCAAAGAGGATGCAATTAAGAAACTTACCAAAAATAGGAATTCGTAAATTAGGAAACAGTTCAAATTTCAAATTGGTTGAATTTGAATTTTGAAAATCTGCCCAAAATTAAATCATCCAAATTAGGCAAGGGTTTTAAGGGGAAAAGATGAAGTGGGGGCGGCGGCAGGGGTTATGGCCGACGGTATGGGGAGGTCGGGGTGGGCTTGGGCCGTGAGGTTGAGGGAGGATGAGGGGTCGAGTGAGGTGGCCGGCGGCTTATGGTGGAGGAGGGTGGGGGAGTTCGACAAGGGGAAGATGAAAAGACAAAGAAGAAAACCACGAACCCGGCCGTCTCCAAGGTTGGTGGGTGATCCGATTTCCCTCTCCTAGGGATCTCTCCAATGTTCTATCCAAGAACTCTCAAACGCTCTCAAAGCACAAGAGTAGAAAAATATCATAATAGTCATTCATTAATCTCAAAAGAAAATAAGAAGGGCTATATAAAGCTTCATACAAAGGACTCAAAACAAAAAGACACAAATGCCCCTTGGGCTTACATATGACATCCCTTCATAAGAGGGTACAACGGGGAAACAAAATGACACCTAAGCAAATAAGAAAATACATGAATAATAAAATAATACAAATGACTCAAAAATATAAAGACTAGATCGTGGCCGTAGATCGGCGGCCACGTCTCTGATACACCTTCCACGATCTGATGTCCCCATCAGCCCTTCAATACTTTCTCTTTCCCAAATCCTTCTTCACAGTGATGAGTGGCGAGTCTTAGCATGAGTATTAGTGCATCTCATGGTGGTTGTTGGTGAATGATGGCTTCAGTCTGGATTACAAATGTTGGATTGTCGCCAGAGAATTTTCTTGACTGCTTAGTTGTTTATCCTTCTTGCGGCTTGCTCAGTCCAGGGGTCTCATTTAGCCACAATTTTGTCACCTTCATTTCAAACTACCATTATCATGATTCGTTAAGGCTTCTGCATAATTTAATAAACTAAATACTATAGTACCGTTTTACTTCTGCATAATTTAAATGTTTTGTATGATTTTTGTTAATGACAGGAATCTCACATACATTCCCTAATGAATGTTCTCCGCTACTGCAATTTTGATGAATCCCTTCAAGAAGAAGACAGCCTTGTCCGTCACAGTGGTCTTGAGCGGCTATTTAAGACAAGAGAGCTTGATTATATGAGTTATATTGTTCTAAGAATGTTCGAGAATACAGAGGTCCGTTATATTGATCTTACTCCTTTGTTTACAAGTATTAATCACTAGTAATCTTGTATAGTAGAGATTACTAGAAACCCTTATATGGAGAATTATTGCGTGCAGATAACGTACTCAGGGATGAAGTGTTGAGAAATAATATTTTACTATGTTATCTGCATGCAATAATTTCTCGCTAATATGTGTGAACTTGGATGAAGCACATTTGTCCAGTAGCTTCTGAGGCAACATTACCACTTGAAATACTAAAGATTTCTTCGATTTTATCCGTATCCCAGGTGCTTCTGGAAGATCCAAAGAGGTTCCGCATTGAGATGACATTCAGTCGCGGTGCAGACTTAAGCCCGCTTGAGGTAATCTCTCAGTCTTCCTGTTGTTGACAGTTTTTCACCTATTAGTTTAGAAGAGCACTTGGAACTTTTCTGAATAGGAAAAGGATGATAAGGAGTCAGAGATAGGAGAATTTATTAGGTGCGGATACCGTACGTATATAGAGCTATGTCCGGATTCTAATAAAATGTTGACACGTGGAGTGGACTCGTGGATATTCAATTGGATTTATTTTTTTCTTTATATATTTAATGTGTCCACGGAACTTTAAGCCATGCGCATCAAAAGCGCAGCCAAAACGCATGTAAAGAGAAGTAAAAAAGTGCAACAACAGAGCAATCAAAGCGCAACTAAAGTGCAGGTAAAACGCAAATAAAGCGCTAGTACAGCTCACAAAAAAGTGCAACCAAAGTACACTTTACGTGTCAAATTTTAAGTGGATGTCCAGACGTATCTCTACGCCCGGTCTCCGCACCTAAGAAGTTCCCCAGAGATAGAGTGTGGTAGCCTTATTAGAAACCCAGGACTTTGACTTTCGTTCGAGAAAATTTCATTCATATATATATATATATATATAATCAATTTCATGTAGATTAAAATAAGAGCAACTATCAAGAAATTTCCAGCCTCCCCATAATTATGAGCACTAAATCACATAAATCTATCCCAATATCCTTACAGGAACCTAATAACGGTGTTGATGCCGCTCTGCTGCATCAAGAGCACACGCTTCCTATAATGGGCCCAGAGAGATTACAGGAAGTGGGAGCATATCTTACGTTAGAAATGATGGAGAAGATGCTAAGGCCATTTGCAATGCCAGCTGAGGATTTTCCTCCACCTCCAAATCCCCAGGGACGAACTTTTTCTGACAACTTGTCCAAGAGTGCTGGAGTCTTGGAACGTTGGTTTAATCTCTGGCCCTTCCATAAGCACACAACTGCAAACTCCAAGTAAGAAATATTTTTTTCTCTTATATACATATTTCAACTCCGTTTGCCTGTAAGCTCTTTTGTGTATCCTTCCTTGTTTCTGAAAGCTTATAAGGATAGCTTATTGTTTGGTATATTTTCAAATGTTTTATTGCTCGTTGGATATTAATGATTGAATACAATTTTACTTCTTTTATTAGAAAAATGTTTTTTTTTTTTTTTTAGGCTTCTGATATCATCCCATGAATCTTTTTTTTCCCCACAAGAAGTTTAATTTATATTTCAAGCTGCCTCACTGCCGTTCTTTCTTATTTTTTCTTAGAAAAAATATTTGAAAATTTTCTTAAAGCTTCATTTGGGACGGCTTCTTTGGTGCTTTCTAGAGCAGCTTTTTAGTACAAATTTTTTTTTGAACTAAAAACTTTTGTACTAAAAAACAGTTTTATAAAGTAGCCAAAATTTGTCTCAAACGAAGCCTAAGTTGCATTTGAGTGCTCATTACTTTATATAAAAAAAGCTATTGTCAGGCAATTTCAATATAATTGTTATAACATTATTTGTACAACATAACATCCGCGTCAAGGCCTCATCCATCCAGAAATTATTTCGTGCGGAGTTCAAACGGGAAGATTCGTCCGGATTGTCAGTGCACGCAATACGTAAAAAAAATTAATACATTGTATATAAATGTTTACACTGTTTATATATTCACATCTCCGAACGGTTCTTCCCATCTGAACTCTATACTAAATAATTTCTCACATCCATTAGTTCACAAAATCCTGTAAAAATCGTTTGGTCTGTTGTTGTGAAAAGCATCATAAGCCATATGTACGATTTGTTCGATGATTAAATGACATAAGTATTCTTAGAGCCATCGCTCACAACTATTTAGACTATATTTTTAAAAAAATCAGATCAAAGCAGCCGGTCCAACTGATACAACAGCAAATCAGTTCTTAGGTCGGATTAGTTCAGCCCAAAAATTGCTTGGGAGTCGGTCGGAATTAGCATTTGAACTAGAGAATGCGTGAATTAATCTAATTTTTTTATGAACAAGCAAATTTGAATATAAATTAATTTTAGACTTTTTGATTTTGATTAAATAGAAGTATTAAAAAATTTAGAGGTTTTAATAAGTTTAGCCCCCTCCTATTTATATTTTTTTAACTTATAGGTTAAATATTTGTTATTTTTTAAAAATTGAATATCTTATAAATAAGCAAAATATTATTTGGCAAATCGTTTATTTAAAGACATATTTAACATATTCAACCTAATTTAAAATAGTATATATTAAATTAATAAAAATACAATTATTATTTATTATAAAATGATTATATCAGTTAAATTATTTTAAAATAATTTTAATTTACCTTTGAAGACTCAGCTTTTTATTCTTTTGGTCAATATTTGATTCAGTTTTTGTAGCCTATATAAGAAAAGGAGGATAAATTATAAGGTGCGGAGTGCATCTAGAGATTAATAAAAATAAGTCATGTCACTTCATTGGTGGGTATCTAGCTCAGTACCCGCACTCAATACTACTGGGTACCGTTGAGTACCGCTAGGTATTCAGTACTTATCCGGACGGTTCTTCCGTACGCACTCCGCACCTAATAATTTATCCTATATAAGACCCTGGTACTCTCCTCCCCAATGGTATTCAAAATGCGGTTTATAATTTTTCTTAAATCAATATTCTTTTATGTGATGTGACATCTAAAACGATGGTAATAATTAAATAGATAAAGCAATAAATATTAACCTTTAAAATTATTAAATTTATTTTAAAAAATGTCTAATATAATTTATTTATCAATTACAATTATTTCAAAGCATATTAATATAACATACATATATTTTCTTAAAAAATAATAACTGCGAGTTGTACCTTAACCAACATAATTAACGAAAAGTAATTAACTTGGCCATGTCAGTCATGAGTGCAACAACAACAACAACATCAAGTCTTTATTCCACTACGTGGGGTCGGTTACATGAATCTTTTTTCTCTATTGTGTCCAATTAAAGATTAAATTCTCGTTTAAATCTAATAAAAAAAGGTCATTCCTAATATTTTCTAAGCAGGTCTTTTTAGGTCTGCCTTTCTTAATATAAGTCAAATCTAATATCTCTACTCTCCTAACTGGGTCGTTGGAAGGCCGCCGTTTTATGTGACCAAACCATCTAAGGCGACTCTCTCTAATCTTATCTTCTACTAGAGCTACTCCAACCTTTTCATGTATATGCTCATTTCGATCCTATCTCTAAGGGTAAAGCCACTCATCCACCTGAACATCCTCATCTCTGTCACATTTAACTTAATGTTATGCTTCTCTTTTAATGGCCAACATTTAGCACCATAAAGCATTGCAGACCTCACTACCATCTTAAGGAGTGCAACATAATAAATAAAAAAATAGTTAACTATAATGTGCCAAATGTAATTAACTTTTAATAAGGTAATCAAACACCATAAAGCAAACCAATCATTCCAGCTAACACTCCTAAACTCGGCAAAATGTAATAACTATTGGGCTTTTCTTTTTGGTTAAAAAAATTTATGGGAATTAATATATAAAGAAGTTTCAAAAATATTTTATTATTTTTTGAGAAAATTGAATAAATATTTTTAATATAAATGAGTTCTAACCTCAAAGAGTAAGAAATATCAATTGTTTTTTATTGTTATATATGTTAGATATTTGTGATTTGATTATGCAACAAGTATTATTATAATATATATTGATATTATTGAAGATGTTTTTTTAATGTTTTGTTTTTGTTGTTTGTACACATGGGCTTGTTTATGCTAATATTAAAATTAATGAAACAAATCTCTATCCCTTTCATGTTTTCATTATAGCAACTTGGCATTGATCTAGTGTGTCCTCTTCTTCTCTCATTTTTGCTAAGGGCATCTCCAACGGAACTCCAAATGCTTGAATGTTGTCGCCTCCGAGCTCCAGCCGAACAGTGAAACTTCCGCTATTTCCATGCGGGTGAACAGTAGGACGCCAATATTGGAGTTGAATCGTTCATCATCACTATTTTTCTCGGTCTACCGAACTTGACAAGAAGCGCGGAAAGAAAAAAAAAAAGATCGTTACCTTCTCAAAATGGAGTTCCATTGGAGATGAATCGCTGCATTTTTAAGTTTCACGACATTTTGGAGTGAAAAATGTGATTTTTCGTTGGAGATGGTCTAAGAATGTGAGAGACAACTAGGTTCAACTAAAGAGGAATAGGAAGTAGGTGGCATGAAGCCATCAAGATAAACAACAAAAATGGGGTTAAAACTCATTTATATTAAAAATATTAATATCTAACATATATGACAATATAGAAATTAATATTTCTTACGCTTTGAGGTTAGAACTCATTTATATTAGAAATATTTATTTAATTTTCAAAAAAATAATGAAATATTTTAAAACTTCTTTATATATTAACTATCACAATTTTTTGTCCTGAAAAGAAAAGCCCAACAGTTATTTAAATTTGGCCGAGTTTAGGGGTGTTAGCTGGAATGATCGGTTTGCTTTATGGGGTTTGCTTATCTCATTAAAAGTTAATTGCAACGACCAATAATTACATAGTTTTTGCATCTTGTTGTTCCTTAAAAGAATTTTTCTCTCTTCAATGCACAAAATAGGGCTTAATTTTCAAGCCATCTGAATGAGCATTTTTTTAAAATGTATGTATATAGATGTAATAACCTACGTTCTTTTAGTTCTTTTGCACGCATCTGAGCCGCACGAGTGCTTCCGCTCCTCCCTTCACTTGAATCATGCAAGGTCGAACTCAGCAACTGCCAGTCTGCCATTTCACACCCTTGTTTTCCTCTTTCTCTTCTCAATTGCGATAATAAAGTGATTCTTCTCGCGCCTTTTCATTCGCTCTCCCCCCCCCCCAAATTCAAGGAGGTAAATAAAAGAACAACTCATCTATAGAAAAACTTTACTATCTTATAGTCAAAACAACATCAATGAATTCTTGGTTCAACGAAGAGATATTAATTATTTGTCTCATGCTAAATATATGAACAATGCAAATTAAGATATTTATTATGATGATGAATATCATAATTATAGTTACAAGTAATCACATATTGATTGCCTAAAATGGTGTTGGTCAGGGTCATTAAATTATGAGTCAATTTAGGATGGTGGTTTCAGAATTAATAAAATGTATATATAAAAATGATACATTTTATTTATATTGGAAGAATTTAAGATACTTTGCCTTCATCCTCATGTCATGAACACGCCATTAACATTATATAAATGCAATTAATCTCAAAAACCAAATTAAACAAAGGAAATAAAAATAGGTTATTTTGTTTTAATCCTCTTTAATTATAAATTTTGCTATTGGTAATTACATCTTTTGCCTACTATAATGATCGGTCATAAACAATATGGAACTTTATGATGTAATCTTATTTGATTTAGTTATGTAATCATAGTTTGAACCAAGGAAAGTAAAATCAATTACATAATTACAAAACTTACAATGTTGTCATTCTCTATATTAAGCTATAAGGAAAATTAGGCTTACAAATTAATAAGTTTATTACTCTGAAGTCTAAGTATTATTTTAAATTTTTAATTAAAAAATAAATAATTTATCAAAATATATTTATACAAACAATAAATATTTATAATTATCAATTACAATAAGATGATAAAAATTTCATTAATAATAATTTGAGTATGTGAGTGTGAAATAGTATGGGGAGAATTATGAGTCTCTTTTATAATATTATGAGTCGCCTTAATTCAACAAGAAAATTCACTTGACGACATAAATCATAAATGACAATGAAATGATATCAACACAAATAATATTAAATTATTATTCAAATTTTGCATATATTGTAATTTCATATTAATTTACATGCTTTATATTGGCAAACAATGTTCTTTAATAGAGATATACTTTCTCTTTAGTCTTTAAGCTTGAAACAATTGAATTAATTTCATGTTGGTGAAATTAAGCATTGCAGATAATACACAAATTGTTCAGTAATTGAATAGTTATAGCATCTCAGCTAAATTTGACAAATGATTATGATTTTTATATGTTTGAAGAAGCCAAACATATTAATAACAAGTGATGTGTTATGATGTTATGTATAACTATTATTTTTCTATATATGTTGTTTAATATATATATTATTTATATAACAACATATTAAATTTAATAAAACCAT